AACTCCTTATCCAACTGAATGTTTGCCTAAATTTTCTTATAATTTTTAGTATGCTTTTTCATTTTGTTCATTGTTTATTAGGTGCAAACTTTTCAGTTTGATGTGGCCCCACATGTGTAATTTCTTGGTTAGCTGTGCTGTTGGTTACTAATCAAGAAAAAACAAAATCACTCCCAAAGCAGTCCATTGTCCATGATTTTCTTTTCCTTGTATTTTTGTTAGTTTTTGCAAATTGTGAGCATACGTCCAAGTTGCAATAAATATACGCACACCCGAGGTTGTCTTTATAGGAGCTTTATGGTTGCAAATTTTGTGTATAATCTTTAATCCTTTTCAGTTGATGATTGTGTATTTCATATCATAAGAGTCCTGTATTATTCTTTTGCATATGGATATCTAGTTTTGAAAACCTTTCGCATTGTGTTAGTTTGGTAGTGTTTTGAAAAATGTGTTCACTCTATATAAATTTGTATTTATTATTGAATGCCCTCATTTTGCTCACTGGTCTGTATATCTTTGTGTTTACCAGTGACATATGGGTTGGTTAACTAGGGATTTTCATTTAATTAGAACTCAGGGAATGTGATACATGCCACATGGTTTGTGTTTCTCAGGATAACTTTGGAAATTCAGGGTGTCTCACATTTCCATGAGAATTTTGGCATTGTTTTCTTCATATATCTTAAAACACCATTTGCCATATATAAATGTATATAATTAGAGGGTACAGGGAAGATTTTGAGACGTGTGTGTTGAGTAATCATCAAATTGGGTTATTTAGCATCTCTTCACCTCGTATAGTTATGATTTTTTTGTGTGTGGTAACAACATTGAGAATATTTTCTTCTAGCTACTTTAAGGCATATGATACATTTGTGTTAAGGCCAGTCACCCTGCTGTGGAATAGAAGACCAGAATTGATTGCTCTAATGAGGGTAACTTTTTACCCATTACTGATTCCTTCCCAGATCCTCTCCATCTTCCCAGTGACCTCTAGTAACCCCTATTGAATTTTCTGCTTCTAGGAGATGAAGATGTTTTCAGTCTGCATGCCTGAGATTGTGTGGAATGGGACTTTGTCTAACAGGCTCATTCATTGGACCTGACGTTCTCCAGGTTTCTTCATGTGGCTGCAGATGGCAGGATTTCCCAGAGCGTTATGGTTGGAACATACTCTGTGGTGTATCTGTACAGCAGTTTCTTCATCCCTGCAGCTGTGTGTGGACGGGTAGGTTGGTTCTGTACCTTGGCCACAGTTACAAGTCCCTGAGTACCCATGGAAGGCAGATAGCTCTCTTCAGCCCAGAGATTTCAACTGCTTTAAATGTGGAACCAGAGGTGGGGCTGCCAGCTGAAATGGTAGTTGTACTGTAAAGTTTTTCAGGAAACTCCTGCTGTTTCTCATAGTGTGTATACTAGTTTACATCTCCACCAATAGTGTTGAAGAGGTTACCTTTCTGTAAGTCTACACTGGCTGGCACCTTCAAAAATTAGTGTTTTGTTTTTGGTAGTATTCATAGTGAGTGGAAGGAGATGGAATGTTAGCGTGGCTTTCATGGACATTTTTGTGAGGATTAGTGATGTGGAGAAAGTCATTTGAGAAATCCCCACGTTGCTTTCCATGGTGTCTGAACTGGTTTGCATTTCCACCAGCAGCAGAGCAGCGTCCCTCTTCTCTGCCTTGCCTGCATTCGTTCTTGTGGACCGTGTCCTAATCGTCATTCTGGCCAATGTGCAGTACTATCTCATGGGCCTTTTGCTTTGTCTTTTCTGATGATGACTGAGGTAGAGAAATGTTGTCATGTCTGTTGGTTGCTGTAAGCCTTCTTTTGAGGTGCATGTTTTCCTGCCTCTTGCCCTTTCTTCATTGAGTTTTTGTTTTCCTGGTTGATTTGCTTAACATCTTTAAGGTAGACCCTGGGTATTAGCCTTCATCAGATGCATGCGTGGGAACTTTTTCTCTTGTTGTGCAGGCCATCTGTTCACTCTGTTGGTCATTTCTTCTGTGCAGCAGCTCTTCTGTGTATTAGGTGCCACTGGGCAATAATTGTTTTAGTTACACTTCCTTTTGGAGACTGAGACACATCCATGCTGTGCCAAATCCTCTGTCAGGAAGGGTGTTTCTAGGTTGTTTTTTTTGCAGTCTTTTCATATGTGAGGTCTTGCATTTACATCTTTCATTCATCTTGAGTTTATGTCTGTACACCGTGAGACACGGGGCCCACTGTTTTTCTTCAGCTGGCTAGTCATTTATGCCAGTGCTATCTATTGAAAGGAGGGAGTCCTTTCTCTAAGGCTTATTTTTGTGGATTTTGTTGAAGACCAGATGGGGCTAGGGGTGAGGGCTTACGTCTGGGTCCTCTAATCTGTTCCACTGCTCTGTGTGGAATGGGGTCCCTAGCTTTTCAATGAAATTTAACATTGGGAAGTGTGACACAACCGAGGTAGTTTGGATTTCTCAGGATTGCTTTGGAAATTCAGTGTGTTTTGTGGTCCACGTGAATTTTAGCATTGGGTATTTATATCGTTTTTTAAAAGGTTGTAAAGGTATACAATGCGAGGAGTTAGAGTGGGGCATTTTGATTAATGCAGACACAGAGGAATGATAAAATCAGAATATTTAGAGGCTCTATTATCAGAAACAGTTGCTAATTTCTTTGTGGTGAAAACATTTGGAATCTCCCAGATTTTGTGAAAAGGGTGTGATGTTGTGTTAACCTCTGGTCACTTGACTGTGGAACAGCGAGGAACAATTCATTCCTCTCATCTAAGTGTAACTTTGTGCCTATTTCTGACCTCTGCCCATCCCTCTTCTTCCCTCCAACCTTTAGTAACTATTATTGTGCTTTCTAGACCTGTGCAGTGAAGCCTTTTATTTTGGATTCTAAATTAGTTTTTCTTTTTCTGCCTGTCTTAGGTCATATACCATGATGTCCTCCAGGTTCAACAGTGTGGCTCCAAATGATGAAATTTCATTCTGGTTTTCTGGTTGAAGACGATTCTACTTGTGTACATCCACCAGGTATCCCTTCATTTGCGGATGGGCAGGTAAGTCTATTCTTTGTCTTGGCAATTGTGAATAGTGCTGCAGTCCACATAGGATGGCAGATGCCTCTTGCATGGACTGATTTCTTTTGCCCTGAAAGTATACTTGGTAGTACACTTGTTAGATGAAGTGGTAGGTATAGGTTAAACTTTTGGAGGAACCTCCCACTGGTTTCTGTAGTATGTATACTGATTAACGTTCTTACCAAATGAGTTCCTCTGTGGAAATTTACACCAGCATTTGTGTCTCTTTTAATGTATTTTATTGCTTTGATAACATCCATATGAATTATAGTGAGATGATGTGTGTTGTTTTGATTTACATATTTCTCATGATTTGTGATGTATCTAAGTTTTTAAAGCTTGTTTGCAATGTTACGTCTTCTTTGCAGAAATGTCTGTTTAGGTTCTTTGACCCCATTTTGTTTAGTTATTAGTTTCTCTTTTGTGTTTTTGCTAGTAAGTAGTGTTTGTTGCTTAGACATTTTGAAGACAACCTTTTATCAGATGTAGGTTTGCCAAAACCTTTCTTGTAAACTTCAGGATAATTTTTTAATTTTATTTATGGATTTTTAAAAAATCTGCTTGGGCACAAACTCTTCTAATGTATGATGCAGTCCCATATGTGTTTGTTTTCTTGTTGTCCTTTGATGTAGGTGACTGATGAGGAAAAACAGAATCCTGACCAAAGTAGTCCATCACCTATCAGTTTTTCCCCCTGTATTTTGTATTTTGTTTTGACATACTGTGAGCACAGATCCACATTGACCTAAATATAACCACACCATATGTCTTCTCATTGGAAGAGTTTGATACATTTAGCTTTTGTTTATAGTCTGTAATTCATTTTGAGTTAAACCTTGGTCTTTTTACACAATAGGGGTCTGTTTTACTTACGTAGGGTTATCCAGTTGTCAAATCCATTTACTAAGCAGATTTGTATCTTTCGGTGTTCTTTTACAGAACATGTACACTATCTAGGAATTTGGGTTTGTGACTGAGCTTCCCTCATTCTGTCTGTTGGTCTGGGTTTCTCGGTTAGTGCCAATCATCTATTGTTTAGATAACTGGCTTTTCAATATAATTTCAAATGGAGGACAGTGATGCATTCCATGTACTTTGTATTTTCAGGGTTGCTTTGAAATTCAAGGTGTTTCATGGTTCCATGTAAATTTTAGCATCATTGGTATCCTTTTTTTTTGTTTAAAAAAAAAATTACCCGAGTATATGTATATAACTAGAAGATACAGGGGCCATTTTGATATGGGTACACCTAGCATATTGATCAAATCACAATGTTTAGCATCTATGAAGCCCTTTAGGTATTATTTGTCTGTGGAGATGATACTCAGAATCCTGTCCAGCTATTTGGAAAATTCACTACAATATTAACCCTCATCACCCTGCTATAGAAGAGAAGGGCAGGACTGATCTGTTTTCTAAGTGTTAACTTTGTACCCATTACCAATCCCTGCCTAGGCCCCCCTTCCCCACAGCCCCTGGTAACCACTGTTGAACTTTCTACCTCTGTGAGGTCAAGTGTTTTAGATTCGACATGCATGACATCATGCAGTATATGCCTTTCTCTGCCTGGCTTATTTCATTTAACATAATGTTACTCAGGTTTTTCCATGTGGCTACAAGTGACGAGATTTCACCCATTTCTATGATTGAAGAATATTCTACTCTGGATGTATATTGTAATTTCCTCATCCCTTCATCAATGGATGTACAGGTAGGTGCATTTCCTGTCTTGGCTATCGTGAGTACTGCAGTACGGAGGGCAAGGCAGGTATCTCTTCCACATAGGAATGGAATGATGGCTAGATGAAATGGCATTTTTACTTTGTTTGAGGCACTTCCAGCTGTTTTTCCTAGTGTGTGTAGACATTGACATTCCCACCAATAGTGTATGAGAAGAGTTTCCCTTTCTGAAATTCTATACTAGTTGTTTCCATTGAAAACTTTTATTTCTGTTTTAGGGAACATTCATTCTATGTGGATGGAAGCTGTATCTCAGTGCAGTTTTCCTTGACATTCTTGTGAGGATTAGTGCTTTTGAGAAACTTTTCTTTTCCCTGTGAGTCAGTTTCACATCTGCTTTGCAGACACGTCTATTCAGGTCCTTTGCCCAGACTTAGCTTGGGTGTTTGTTTTTGTTCCCCCCCCCCATGGTAGTGTTAGTTTCTTGCACATATTTTATAATGACCCCTTTCAAAGACAGGATTTTCCATAGTTTTCTTTCAGTCTCTGAGGCACCTTCTCTTCTGTTCATTGTTTTCTTTTTGCAGCAGAAGATCCGATGTTTTCCGTAGTTGCACGTGTTTACATATTAGTGGTGACTTCTGTGTGCAGTTAAAAACAGTGAAAAAGATTGCCAATCCATGGGATTGTCTATGGTTTTTTTAATTCTAATTTTCTTTTCTTTTTATATTTCACATTTTGCAACTTGTGTGCATAGATTAGTCTTCTAAACTATGTGCTTACCGTTTGTTTCCTGAGGGAAGTAAATGGTTGCAAGATTGAGTTTAGGCCTTCAATGTAATTTACATCGATTTTTGTCCTATTTCACTGTTTTTCGTGTGGCTGTCAAGTTTGCTCAAAATCATTTATTATTTTCCCATTGTATCTTTTTGTGTTGTGTTGAAAAATGTGTTCAGTGTACATTCATTTGGGTGGCATGTGGGACTCCCTCATTCTGTCCATTGGGTAGCCTTTCTATTTTTATGCCAGTGGCAGGTTGTTTGGATAAATAAAGGTTTTAGTTGCTTTATCATTATGCCCACTTAGTACCTTTAGTTTCTTGCATATGTTAGATAACAGTTCTTTTCGGATACATGATTTCCTATAATTTTATCCCAATCTGTAGGGTGCCTTTTCTTTGGGTTCATTGTTTTCTCCTTGTTTATAAATTTTAAAATTGTCCTTTGGGAGCAGATGGAGCTCTGAGGAAATTGTGCCCAGAGCTCAGAGTAGATGGAGCTGTGAGCAAGATGAAGCTCAGAATAGATGGTGCTTAGAATAAGATGGAGCACCAAGCATATGGTGCTCAGGGCAAGATGGAGCTTCAGTGATTGTAGCTCAGAACAGAAGGAGCTCACAGAAGATGTTGCTCCCAGTAAGATGGAGTTCCAAGCAGATGGTGCTCAGAGTAAGATGGACCTAAAAGTGATTAGAACTCCGAGAAAGATAATGCTGTCTGCTGATGGTGCTTAGAGAGAGATAGAGCTCAGAGTGATTGCTCTGAGACATTGCAGCTCCGAGCAGATGGTGCTGGGAGCAAGATGGAGCTCAGGGTGATTGCCCTGAGAGATTGGAGCTCCGAGCAGATGGTGCTCGGAGCAAGATGGAGCTCAGGGTGATTGCCCTGAGAGATTGGAGCTCTGAGCAGATGGCGTTCGGAACAAGATGGAGCTCAGGGTGATTGCTCTGAGAGATTGGAGCTCTGAGCAGATGGTGTTCGGAGCAAGATGGAGCTCAGGGTGATTGCTCTGAGAGATTGCAGCTCTGAGCAGATGGTGCTCGGAGCAAGATGGAGCTCTTAGTGATTGGAGCTTTGAGCACAATGGGGCTTGGAGCAGATGCAGCTCTGAGCAACATGTAGCTCAGAAAACATGTTGCTTATAGCAAGATGGAGCTTGAGCAGATGGTGCTCAGAGCAAAATAAAGCTGGAAGTGATTGGCGCTGTCAGCAAGATAGAGCTCGGAGGAGATGTATCTCTGAGCAACATGGAGCTTGGAACAGATGAAGCTCTAAGCAAAATTGAGCTTGGAGCAAATGTTACTTGGTTTCAGATGGAGCTCAGGGCAGATGGTGCTCAGAGCAAGAGGGAGCTCAGAGAACATGCTGCTCACAGTAAGATGGCACTTGGAGCAGATGATGCTCAGAGCAGAATGGAACTGGAAGTGATTGGAGACGGAGCTCAGAGTGATGGGAGCTCTAAGCAAGATGGAGCTTGCAGCAAATGGAGCTTGAAGTGGGTGGTTCTCAGAACAAGATGGAGCTTGGAATGTTGGGAGCTCCGAACCAAGTGGAGCTCAGATCAGATAGACCTGCAAGATAGACCTCTGAGCAAGAAGGAGCTCCAAGCAAGATGGAGCCTGGAGCAGATACTGCTGGTATAAGGTAGAGCTCCGAGCAGATGGTGCTCAGAGCGAGAGGGAGCGTGGAGTGATTGGCACTCTGAACATTGCTCTGAGCAATTGGAGCTCTGCGCAAGATGCAGCTTGGAGCAGACAGAGCAAAAAGGAGCTCTGAGCAGAAAGGAGCTCTAAGCAAAATGGAGTTTGGAGGAGATGTTGCTAGGTTAGTTGGGGCTCAGAGCACATGTTGCTCAGAGTAAGATGAGGTCCAACCAGATGCTGCTTAGAGCAAAATGGAGCTGGAAGTGATTGGAGCTCCCAGCAAGATGGAGCTCAGAGTGATTGGAACTCCATGCAAGACGGAGCTCAGAGTAGATGGATCTCTGACTAGATGGAGCTCCAAGTAAGGTAAATGTCTATGCAGATGGTGCTCAGAGCAAGAGCAAGATAGTGCTTGGAGTGATTGGAGCTCCGAGCAAGATGGAGCTTGGAGCAGATGGAGCTCTGAGCAAGAAGGAGCTTGGAGTAGATAGAGTTTGGAGCAAGAAGGAGCTCTATTGCAGCAGATGTTGCTCGGTGTAAGGTGGAGCTCAGAGAAGATGATGCTCACAACAAGATTGAGCTCAGAGTGATTGGCACTCCAAACACTGCTCTGAGCCATTGGAATTTGGAGTAGATCGTGCTCAGAGCAAGATGGAGCTCCGGGTGATGGGAGCTCCTAGCAAGCTTGAGCTTAGAGCAGGTGGACTTCCGAGCAAGACAGAACTCAGAGATGTTGCTCACAAAAAGATGGAGCTCTTTGCAGACAGCGCTCAGGGTGTAAACACTCAGCATTTGTTTTTCACAATCTTCACAGAAGGAAATTCTAGCAGATTTGAGTACCAAACTTCTAGTGAAGGGGCAGACCTATTGGCCACATATACTATGATGCCAGGCCTAGAATCACCTTGCAATGGAAAGTTTAATGACAGTTAGGTCTCAGTAGAGTATAGAATCCAAGAGAAGACTTAAGGATTCCTACTTCAAGCTCATTGTCTTCAAATAGCAGAATGGAGAACTACTTGTCAAAGGGTAGTTTAGTATCTTTTCCTTTGGTTTTCAGATTTCTAATATACTTCTTGTATTTTTCTGTTAACAGATCTGGGCAGGTTCAGGAGCACATTAGAGATCTTATAAACCAGGCCTCTCACCTTTGGGAAAGGACTACTAAGTGTTGGCTCTGCTGGGTGTCACCTGGTCTTCATTCTCATAGCTCTTCCATTTCCTGGGACCCTTGGCCTCTATCTTCCTTCTCCTTTTTAAGCCTTGCTTTCTGAATCTTCTGTTTATTTGCTCCCACCTAGAAACCATCAGACTTGAGATGATCTTGTGGTGGGGATATCAACCTCTTTCTTTCCCTTGAGGACAACCAAGGTCTCCTCTGGACACCACGAGTCAGATCTTCCAAGAGACAACAACAGTCATCAAAACCTCCTCACCATGACAGCAAGCAAGGAGGAAGGACCCCGAAGACCCTCGATGGCTCCTTTCAGCAGGAAGTAGCTAGAGAGAATGACCTCTGCCCCATCTACCAAAAGATTTCTGGGTCCCAACACCTGGAGGAAGCAATGTAAGGGTAGACAGTCAGATGTGAGTAGGCACGAGGGGGAGGTATCCATGTTGGAAAGAACTCCCTGGAGCACCTCTCTGTTCGCCCAGTACTCACTATCAGAATGTTGTTAACTAGATCCTGATAAAGAAGGAAAAGGGCAAAAGGGGAATTCCTGAGAGCTGTGCAGGCACATTGGGTACAAAATTGAATGCCCTACCTTCCTGGGGTGGCGGTAAGAAGCAGTGCCACCATTAGATAGGATTCGTATTGATCACTGGTTCCCGTGCATGTGTATTAAGCACGGTAAGGGAGGATCCCCAGACTTTGGTGAGAACTGGGTAAAGAAAGAACTGAGACAGCAGAAGATCGCAGTGCACAATGTCATGGGGGTGTTTCCAGCAGGGCCAGCCCACTCCTCTCCTGAAGTGTACTTGTACTTCCCAAGTAAACTTTTCTTGGTTTACAATTTGGTCTTTTGGGTAAATTCTTTCTTCCAAAAAGACAACCAAGGATCGCCCAGATCATTAACATTGTCATGGGATGTAACTCATAGTAAGAGTCTGTTTCTGAGGATCTCAAAGTGAATTCAATAATGACAAGGTGTATCAATGATAAGAGTTGGTAAGAAAAAAAAAAAAACAGTTCAATAATGCTTGACTTACTAAGAAATTTGTCTGGGGTTAGGCTGTTTCTTTTCAACTGTGGGAAAATCCCAAAAGCCAGGTGCAGTGGTGCACAACTGTACTCCCAGCTACTCCAGAGGTTGAGGCAGGAAGATTCCTTGAGCCCAGGAATTCAAGGCTGTAGTGTGAAATATGGTGCCAGTGAATAGCCACTGTCTCACTTCAGCCTGGGCAACATAACATGACCCTGTGTCTCAGAAACATTACAACAATTACAAAACATTTATTTCAACAGAAATGTAACTTTTTTGTGTCTCATTATTTTAAAAATTCAGTCAGTGCACTTTAACTTATAATTTTGATGGTGTTTTTATGATCTTAACACCCAGAAAAGTAATATAGGCCCATGCAAAATGAGGCCTCAACCTTCTGTCTTTACCTGGGTTCGTGTCCTAGCACATCGCAGAAGAGCAAATCTAATGTTTTTAAGAAAGCATTGCAGTAGATAAAAGAGAACAAATTAAATGGATGTTCTAATACGTAAATTACAACTAACTAGCTGATTAAAGAAAGTCAATATATTTCTTTGTGTTATTTCTCTGAGTATACCCATATCTATGTGCCCATGAAATGTTGGTATGCCTCCATTGCGAGTTCTTTATTTTTTCTCCTTATTTATGTAAAATATAACATACAATTTAGTGGCATCAAGTAAAGTGACAGAACATACGATATTTTAGTTTTCCATTTCTGAGTTACTTCACTTAGAATAATGGCCTCCAGCTCCATCCAAGTTGCTGTAAAAGACATGATTTCATCCCCTTTTATGGCTGAGTAATATCCCATGGTGTATATACAGCACAATTTCTGTATGCGCTCATCAGTTGATGGGCACTTAGCTTGATTCCATATCTTTGCAATTGCAAATCATGCTATAAACATGCATTTGCACGTGTCTTTGTGTCTTTTATCATGTGACTACTTCTCTTCCTTTGGGTAGATACCCAGTAGTGGGATTGCTGGATGAAACGGTAGTTCTACTTTTACCTCTTTAAGGACTCTCCATGCTGTTTTCCATAATGGTTGTACTAATTGACATTCCCACCAGTCGTGTAAAAGTGTTCCCTCTTCACATTCAAGCTGACACTGTTTTTCAACTTTTTAATTGTGGCAGTTCTTGCAGGAATAAGGTTGTATCTCATTGTGGTTTTCAATTGCATTTCCTTGATTAGTGATGTTAGTGCCCTTTAAATAGAGACTTCAGTAGTTTCTTTGTTTTATTCTCCATATGAGACCACAATAAGACAGCTAAATTTATATTTATTTTTATTTTGATATCAAGTCTCCCTCTTGCCCAGGCTGGAGTGCAGTGGCACGATCTTTGCTCACTGCAACCTCCGCCTCCCGGGTTCAAGCAGTTCTCCCGTCTCAGCCTCCCGAGTAGTTGGGAGTACAGGTGCCTGCCACCATGCCCAGTGAAATTTTGTATTTTTAGTAGAGACAGGGTTTCACCATATTGGTCAGGCTGGTCTCCAACTCCTGACCTCAGGCGATCCACCTACCTCAGCCTCCCAAAGTGCTGAGATTACAGGCGTGAGCCACTGCTCCCAGCCAAGGCCACAAGACATCTATCTATGAACGCTCACCAGACAGCAAATTTTTTGGTGAGTTGATGTTAAATTCCCAGCCTCCAAAACTCTAATAATGTCTGTTGTTTATAACCCACCCAGTTTATAACAGTTATAGCAGCCTGAATGGGCTAAAATAGTATGTGTGTAAATTACCTTCTTAGCACTGTGTTTGCTTGAATCTGTAAGTTTTTGGTATGTTATGTTTTTTATTTCTTTTATCTCAAGATAATTTCTGACTTCCCTTGTAATTTCTCTTTTGATACACTAGCTAGTTGAGAGTATGTTGTTTAATTTTTCTTTTCTTTTCTTTTTTCTTTATTGACACAGAGTCTCGAGGGCAGTGGTGCCATCTCTGCTCACTGCAACCTCCCTCTGACTCCCAGGTTCAAGTGACTTTCATGCTTTAGCCTCCCAAGTAGCTGTGATTACAGTTGCCTGCCACCATGCCCAGCTAATTTTTATATTTTTATTACAAACAGGTTTCACCACGTTGACCAGACTGGTCCCGAGCTCCCGACCTCAGGTGATCCACCCACCTTGGCTTCTCAGAATGCTGGGATTATAGGTGTGAGTTACCACATCTAATCTAGTTTTTCAAACAATGGAAAAATTTGTAATTTTTTAAAACGTTCTCCTGTTAATTAATTTCATGTGACTAGATACGATGCTTTGTATACTTTCTGTCTTTTAAAGTTGATTAATTCTTCTCTTCTGGGCTAATATATTGTCCATCCTTGAGAATGTTCCATGTGCACTTGAGAAAAATATGTGTTCTTCTGCTGTTGGATGGAGTGTTCTGTGTATGTCTGCTAGGTCCGATTGGTTGATGGTGTTGTTCCGTTTATTTTCTTAGTGATCTTCAGTCTAGTTTTCTACTCATTGTTAAAAGTGGCATATTAGGGCTGGGTGTGTTGGCTCATGCCTGTAATCCTAGCACTTTGGGAGGCCAAGGTGGTCAGATCAACTGAGGTCGGGAGGTGAAGACCAGCCTGGCCAACAAGGGGAAACCCTGTCTCTAAAAATAAAAAGCCAGGCATGGTGGCAGGCACCTGTAATCCAGCTACTTGGGAGGCTGAGGCAGGAGAATTACTTGAACCTGGGAGGCAGAGGTTGCAGTGAGCCAAGATCACACCATTACACTCCAGCC